CATTATTAGTTTTTATTGTTTATAGTACTTTTACTGTACCAAAAGGAGGCCGACTTTGTCACCATTTTGCTCCCTCAATAATGAACGGAATGCAGTGAAAATTTACCAGAATGTTCATTAGTGTACTAGAAATAGGCCTCTACTCATATTTTTTGCGATAATGCAACACAATTGTTAATAATCATTAGGTTTAGGCATCTATGAAATGTCAAAAACACCAAACATTTGTTTCAGTCATGCGTCTCATAGATGGCGTAGCGTAAGAAAATATTAGGTATTTGAGTTTGACATTTACATCACCGGCGTCTGCTTTACAAAAGTTTGGTTAAGTTTGTTGTGAATTGCTAAAAAAATAACAATAAACAAAGCACCTGCTGTAAAAGCCAGTACCACAAAGTGAATTTCACTGTTGTGCAAAAATAAAATGCAGTATTTGGTGATTTTAATCAGTGTATAAACAGACATTCATAAAAAAACAGTATTATTAATGAGACACTGTTCTTCTTATGCAAGCAAACAAGATAATAAGTCAAAGCAATCAACGATAGCATTCTCATTTTGTTATCATGTTCAATGTGTAGCTAATGTTTATAGAGTATAGCAAATGATGTTTGTGCAATGTGCTTGCAATTGATGATAAAGGAAGTTATCGGTTTTATGTTCAAAGTGTTGTTTACGTGCTAATAAGTGCTGATAAATCAAATGCATTTTAATATGAATACAGCATTTAAATGTGACATTTGTTGTGCTGAGTTTAGACACATAAGTCTTGAGATGTGAATGTTTTAAAGACGTTCAATCTTTATTTATGTACAGTTGTCATGCAAATATAAACTATACTAAAATAAACTCCAAAAATCTCAATCATGATTGAGTTATTAAAGAAATTATCATTAATTCATGGTGCTCACAATTTTGTAAATCATGTTCATATCAATCATAATTATATAATCTCAAATTGACTTTCAATAAACGATGAAGTCTTAAAACCAATCCTGATTATATTTATCAGTTTTAAAATTCATTCTTTCCAGACCCTTATAAATAAAATAAATTGTTTTTACTTTTATTTTAAAAAATTAGGTAAAAGAAATGGAATTTACACATTGCTTGATGAATTGATAACATCATTGGTCCGTATTCTGAAAAATCAGTCTTTTGATCAAATTCAATTCTGCATGAGCCAAATTTTGAAAGAAAAGTTATGGGCATTTGAATTAAGCGTTATCTCTTAGCTGTACTACTTCTGTGAATGGATACTCCAACTTATCTTGACTATAAGAAATATAGACAATAAGCTTTAGAGGCCAAAAACCATTGAATAAATTTAGTAAAGGCCCTATAAGTGAATGACAAATGTCTTTTTGAGCTTGCTCGACAATTTTTTAAATTTTTCATAGCAATATTGTATTATACACAATATAATCTACGACAAACAAAATGATATTTATCAACATTACTCCAGATATATAAATAGGTGAAAATAGGTTTTGATTGCCAACAGCTATACGACTATACTCAGCTCATAAACGATCACAGATAAAATTGACGGCGCCTGACTATAACGTATTTACATTTTTAACTGTAATCATAATCAATGACCTTACAGTGTACATTTATTTTTAAAGACGAAAATCATAAAATCATAAATTCCATGGAGACAGTGACATTGCGCACTTTCATTGGCTGGCATGATCATTTGGAATGCCGAACGTCTGTTTGTTTGCATCTGACGCAACGAATCCCTTACGAAAAAGGTCAGTAGGAAACCTATAGAAAAATTCTACAGGTTTTCCTGTAGGATTCCCTGTAGGTTTCTGTAGGAAATCCTACAGGTTTCCTGTAGGAAATTCTATAGGAATTTCGCGTAACCTGTAGAAAATTTTTTTGCAGAAATTTCTGCAGAAAAAATGAATTGCAATGTAAACAATTTTCTGCAAAAATTTCTGCAGAAAAAATGAATTGCAATGTAAACAATTTTCTGCAAAAATTTCTGCAAATAAAATTAATATTGTGTTAATTTAAAAGAACAAATGTTATTATTATCAAAATTTCATTGCCGAACGGAATTCAGTTTTTGTTATTTTACATGGAAACAGCTTCGAAATCATAATTTTTATAATGTTTTACATTATTTTTTGTAGCTTTCAAATTTTTATATGGGGATTCACGAATGGTGCCCACCATTTATTTTTTCAAGCTAAAAGACGCGCCATAATTTTTCAACACCACTACACTATATCAGCAAAAAATTTTACAGGATTCTTAAAATTTATTCAGTATATTTATACTGCAACCTTAACTGAGAAAATCCTGTTGAATTTCTTAGGACGTAATTGTTCCGTGCCTGCAAGATTTTATTTCACGTCCCGCTCAGCAAGAACTTACCTGAAACTATCTAGCGAAATTTTCTGCATGGTACCGAGGTGTCTTATGATAAAAATATCCAATGAACACATTTTTAAAGGTATTACAACAATAGTAAGAGAAAATAGTGATCTATAATTTGAGTCCCTTTTATTTTCATACGTGAATTATAATTTTAAAATATTTTTTATGAATACATTTATTAATTAAAAATAAATTAATCAGTTTCTATGCGATTTGCCAAAGGAAAAATACAACATTTTCCATCCGGCAGAGGTACAGAAATACATTTTTTGAATATTTTTTCAATTTTAATACAAATTATACTCTGAGTGCGACTGCAGATGAATGAATATTGTTGAGAAGAAAAACCACTATTGTTGCATAGAACATCTTCATGTTTTTTGAAACGCACTGCTAATACTACAATGTTATCGGTTCCTTCTTTAGGAGCTCCAACATCAAGCAAGTGGGTTATTTCCAAAATGTCTCCATCGATGGTCATAATTATACTATTGTTCCTCTTTTTCAGTCGATTATTTGTACTGGTATGAAATACTGTTCCATTGAATATGAATCTTTGGTATTCTTCACAAAAATCTCCTACTTCTTTTTGCAATGTATTGCTTATTTCTACTTTCATAATTAGCGATAACTTACATCTATTGATCCGACCGAAGCAATTAAGAGAAGATCCATATTCAATGCAGTTATGAGCATTACATTGATTCATCAGTTTGATGAATAAATTGGAATTTTTTTCAGAACAGTTGGGATCGCTGAATATATGAGAAGCATTTTTTATAATTCTTAATCGTCCGTAAGATTTAATTATTTGATCTGGAATATATTGTGTTCCGTGAAACAACTTTTTAATAACACCATTAAATCCTTCAAACGGAAATGCGGACCAGGCCCATAATGAACCATAAAGTTCCACAAAATCAGGAATATGTGTCAAAAGGTGGACATTGAATTTCATGAAAGTCATTCCATACAACTTTGGGATTTTCTTCACGAAATTAAAAAATGCCAAACGCGAGGAATGTAATTCGTCGGGTGTTTTGATCTTCTCTTGTAACAAAATACTGAGTCCATATACAAACAAACTCCAATGCTTCACATAAGATTGTGGCATCAAATTTGTAATACAGGGGATCGAATAATATAAAACAAACGTTTTCCACTCATTGGCTTTGTAATTTGTATCAATTGGTCTAGGAACTCTTGTTATTTCAATTGGAGGTTGAATCTTTAGGAGCCGTTCAGTGAATTCACTATCTCGAGCCCTTATAGAAAATTTTTCACTGCTATATTTCGAGTCAAACCAAGAGGTTACGAAAAGTTTTGCCACGCCCAATAAGCAGGAATGCATATATTCTGGTGGGTAAGATTTGATAATGTTTGAATTTCGTAGTAAAGACACTATAGATGGACCTTTTACTCCCTTTACAGGTTTATTGTCCTCGAGAGTTTTTTTTACATGGGCTAAGTGTTGTTTTGCATTTCTTGATGTACACTTGTCAAAGCTGTAAATTCTGGTGCGACCTTTATCAGTTTCCACTAGTGAACCTTTATTCAAACAATATGGGCACCCATATTTGCCATTGAATTGTTTCATATTTTGAACTAATGGGCGAGCAATAGAATCCACAGGAGCAATTATTTCATGAACCTTCATCAAAACTGGCGTAGTATCAATAAAAGTACTGGAGGTGAAACCATTGTCGCTTAGTGTTATCAATTCATCAACAAACGGTTTCAAGAAAGTATTCATTATTGGTTTTTCTTGCCCATACCACAAACCACATATAAGAATGTTATTTTTTCTCACTCGATATGGAAACTCATTAATAGCAACAAGAATCGGCCACAGACTTTTTTTAGAACTTTTTTGTAAACTCACCCCATCTACATTCCATTGAATCGTAAGATCATTTTTTCCAATTATTCCTTTCGATTTCATATGCTGATATACTTTTCCATTTATAATGTCATTTGTTTGAGTTTCTCTTTTAATATATTTGTATAAATCACTATTTATAATGTCTACTATTTGATTCTTCAGGGGCACATGAATGAAAAATTTTCCTACTTCTCGTAATTTTTTTTTAAAATTTTTTTCTTCACAATTGTCACACGTTGAGGTATCCATTTCATTAAAATCTACAACCGTGTCGCACTTTATACACAAATAATGAATTTGGTATGGATACTTTGGAAAAGCCTTTAAGAATAAATATTTGGATTTGTGTGCTGCAAAAGGAAGGTGGCAATCGATGAGGCTCAACATATTTTCAAGTCCAACATCTGGCAAGTTGTGTCGAAGAGCAAAGGCCATTGTTACAAGTTCACTTTCTTTTTTACTAATAGGACATCCATCGTATAATTTTTCTTCGATATTCTTTTAAAAAAAATTTTTTTTAAATGTACAAAAATGTTTGATTGAAGGGCTTATGAGAATTTAAGATGATATGGAAGCCAAGCCAAGTTCACGGAGCGAAAAAAATGTATACTTCCTACCCTTCTGAGGGGTAAAACATCTCCATTGACCTTCGTGATATTACAGTCACATACTCAAATAGTAGCATAACTGTAAAT